AACTTTATTGATCCTACATACCTCTGTGAATCCTTCAATATTATAAAAATCAGAATCTGTAGTTCCAGTTTCTTGAAAAAATAGTAAATTTGATTTTAATAATATTTTATCAGCAAGAATGTGTTCAACATATTTGTTTAATGATCTTATATTGTGGGAAACACAATATATCGGGTGACTATTTAATGTCAAAAATTCAAATTTAGGTTTAATTGTACAAGATCGCAGTCTAGTCATTTCAACATTAACTTTAACAGTAGGTTTTGGCGGATTAGATGGAAAATAGTCTATACTCAAGCCCTTAGCCGATGTTGCTCTACTGCATCCAACATAAAGCATGTTGCACACTAAATTCTTTTTAGGCACATGATATGCAACATTTTCATAAGTTGCCCCTTGCGATTTATGAACAGTCAAGGCCAATGCCTCAACCAAAGGTAATTGTGTTCGAGTAATTTTCCGGTTCTCTGAGTTACCAATTTGAAATTCTAAGTGTGTAATTTCAATAGGCGTCCAATGAGACCAGTCGTCAGATACATCTCCTTGAGGAGATAACTTTCCTTTAACTTTTTGTCTGGTGATTGAACCAATTTCTGGTTCGTCAAATTTTATCCACACTCTATGTGCAACTTCTTTACCATTAGCAGTTACTGTTCGGTTAATTTGCATCAATTCTCCAATTGCGCCATTGACAATACCATCTTCTGTACAGATATTTGTAACAACCATGTATTTTGCTGTTAATTTTAGTATTAGTGTTTTAGGTAATCCCATTGTTTTTTGTCTTGGAAGATTCTTTGCTGCAGTGATGTCAACTTTTCTACCTGTTGTATCTATTGCTTCAGACACAAAACTAGTAGTATTTAGACTACTTAATACTCTTCTATTCATATCATCTACCTCTTTATTTGTGGCCCATAGATGCATAATGCCCGGTTGAAAACTAATATCTAACGGTTTTGTAAGATTTATAAAAAAATCGATATCTTTTTGAGTCAGTTCTCCTCTTGCTAATTTAGTTAATACTACAGAAAATTCTTTATCATCTTTCTGCCTCATAATTTCAGTTAACTCATAAAACTGAAAAGTTTCCCATATCGCTTTCGTCGCTAGTAATTCTATCGAAGTTGGATATTTGGCAACTATTTGATCAAAATATTCGTACAGTGGTGTGGATAAAACTGGTGGTAATTGATAAAAGTCACCAAAAACAATCACATTTATATCACCAAATGGTTTGTCAATACGTAGAATATGTCTGAGTCGTTGATCAATGTAACCAAGAGTCTTTAAGCCAACCATAGAAATTTCATCAATTATGAGTAGTTTGACATTAGCCAGTTGACACCGTAAAGTATTTGATATGTCAGCACCAAGTTTTGGTAATATCCCAGAAAATTGATTAATTGGTAATTTGAATGCAGCATGAAGTGTTAAACCTCTTATACCGTATGCTGCTTTGCCTGTAGGTGCTGTGAGTAACACAGGAGTAAGTGACAAATCATCTATATCTGGCCTGACATTAGCTATTCTAATTGTTGATTGAGCTAAAGTCCGTATAAGTACAGATTTACCAGCCCCAGCTGGGCCAGTTACATAACATAAAATACTAGGTGCACCTGATCCCCATATTTGCTGTCTAAGTACATTAGTAACATGATAGAGAATCATACGTTGACCTTCATTCATACATTTCACTAGGTTTATAAATTGTTCGTTATTAATTTTATGTACGTTAAACATTCCATTGATTTCATTATTTTTATCTGAATTATCAGCATCGTCATGGTCTTTAAAATCTCCTATATCCAACATTATCTTATCATGTGGGACCCAATCATCCGGTAATTCAGTCTCATTAATATCTTGTTGCTTTTCAACGTTATTTATATCTTCATCTAAATCTTCTTCTTCAATTTTATTGAACTGATAATACATTTGTTGAATTTGTTCAATATTTTTTTCATATACTTCTTGACAATTTATATTTTCTATATCATTGTATTCATTTCTCCAAGGAAAAAACAACATAATTCTTTCCCTATAAAAGTCAGCAGGACTTTTATCGATACTAAATCTTACGTATCGAATAATCTTTCGAATCTTACGCTTATGCATAAACTTGTTGGGTTTCCCAATTAGAACATTACTTTCATAAAATACATCATCATTTGATTCAGCGTCTATTGTATCATCAGACTCAGAATTATCCAACTTTTTATATGATTTTTGTTTACTTTTAATTTCAAAGTCAGCTGCAAATTCAGCTAGAGTTAAATTTTCATAATAAAGTGGTCTACACGAATAATATTCTATTAGTCCATCACAAAATATATCAGTAGATTCAGGATTCATTAGACCCCGAAGAGCAATAGGTTTAACCATGCGAGTTCTTTTATCCGAATGACTTGTATTAATAAATACGTGGCCAGTAGATGTACATGATTGTTTTATTCCTAAACAAGTGTAGACCGCTTCTTGAGCAGATATTTCTTGACTTCCGGAAAATGAAGACGCAATTTTCCATAACTGTGTTTTTACAGACATGTCTGATGATGATTTTAAACTTTCTACTATGTCTTTCATAAGCTTAGATATACCTCTTTGACTTTTTCCTATGTATTCAATGACATATTTGACACAAGAATATGTATCTAAAATGAACTGAATGTCCATATTGGACTCCCATAATGGAAGTAAAATTTCATTAAACCCAGATACCATACGATGTTCCATATCTCTTTTTAAAAATACCATGGGTCGTTTAATTCCAACCCTAATAATAGATTTATATTCATTGTAGGATGTTATTTGTAAATTATGCAACATTTCTTCTATAGATTGGTTTTCTGTAGATTTATAATTCCTTAGGTATTGCATTAAAACTTTGTATTTATGTAACCGTTCTTTATAGTTTGAACTGGTTTCCGGCGTTAGTGGTGTTAATATACAAGTTTCTTTCATTGGAGGATAAGGTATATTAAATCGACAATTGTTAGTCTCTTTGTCTTTTGCACTACGATAACAAGTATGTGTATGACGGTGAGTTTGTTTTGATCTGCTATATGCATTCGCAGGGCTGTCTTCGGAAACCATGCATTGTATATACTTATTTATAAGGGTCACACAGGCGTCAAATGTTTCAGGCTTGGCAGGGTCAAATTGAGGTGCGTTCACAAGCCATAAAATCATGTGAACATGTGGACTACCACGATGCTGATATTCAACACGATAGAAATAATGGTAAACTGGGTGTTCATTAAAAATTCCATTTTTATTTCTTATCAATTTAAATAAAGCTCTAAATCTTTGATCAAAATATGTAGCACAAACAACAGGATCTTCTCTGATTAAATTTGATTTTTCTGCATATGGTAAATTTAAAGCGTCTTCGTCAGATATTTCAATTTTGTGACGTAATTTATACAATATTTTCAATAAATCACTCCATGTTGACTCACTTGGGCTAATTGTTAAAAATATTGTAGGGTGACCTAATTGTCTTACCATCGCAAAAGTATTTTTCCTTACAGTGGCTAAATGTGATGGTGAATTCTGTACATTCTGTAATAAACGGTAGCCTTGATCATCATCAATCATTTTCGTTAGATTTTCAGAATTTGCAACGTCACTAGCTGTTACATTTTCTTTTTTATTTTTTCGCATAATTATTTGTACGTTATTTGAAATTTGTTTGTGTACAAAAACTTTACATTTGAAAAATAAATTTGGCGTATCCGCTGCAAAACGCCTATCTGTATTCAAAAGTTCCGATCTAATCACCTCGGAGTGATTTTTTAACGGATCTCTAAGTTTTCTAGGATGGCCACCAAACAAATTAGGAAACGCCTTTTCTCCGGCACGGTCGTCAATTAAGATGGATAAGGGTCTCAAAAACCTTCACCCGGAGCAAAAGACACATAGTCACCATTTTCAACCATAGTGTCTATAGTTCCTGGGTTAACTAGTTCATCATTGTCACTCTTATCGGACTCTTCACTAACTAATAAGTCTATCTCCTCTGTCATTGTTTGAATATAATTT